CTGCTGTGCTACATTCCCATCCTATTTATTTATTTATTTGGTACTTATTTTTATTTTTTAAAAGGGTCTTGCTAACCAGCCATGGTGGCACACATCTGTAATCCTAGCACTTTGGAAGCTAAGGCAGGAAGATTGCTGCAAGTTCGGGGCCAGCCTGGGCCGCAAAGTGAGTTGAAGGCCAACCTGAACTGTATAGTAAAAACCTGTCTCAAAAAGACCAAAAAGGGGCCTGAGAGATAGCTCAGTGGCACAAGGTCCTGAGTTTGATCCCTAGTACCACCAAAAAAAAAAAAAAAATCAACTAAAAAGATGAAAAAATGGGGAAGGGGGTATGTTTGGAGCTTGTATTTAAATCCACCTCAGCCTCCCACAGTGCTGGAATTATAGGTGTGTACTACCATGCCCAGTTTTCTTTTCATTTATTTATTTTTAAATTTATGTATTTTGTATTTTGTGCAGGGTCTTACTATGCAATTCGGACTCCTAGTGATCCTCCTATTTTCAGCCCCCCCCCAGTGCTGGGATTACAGGCGTGCACCACCACGCCCGATCTCTGAGGCCAGATTAGTGTGCCTGGGGACAGGGCTGCCTTGGCATGTACTGGGGATTGAACCCCAGTCCCTGTGCTTGCCTAAGAAGGTCCTTAGTCTGCTGAGCTATCTTGCTGGCCCTGAGCTTTCTTTTATTTTAAGACAGGGTCTCCTAAATTGCTCAGGCTGGGCTTGAATTTTAGTTTTCTCCCACTGGGATTTCAGGAATGTACCACCCCTCCTGGTTACATTGTTTTGTTTTTATAATTGGAGTTGTTCAACTAGAATTTTTTGTGTGTGATTGTTTTGTTTGTTTTGTTTGTTTTCAGACAGGGTCTCACTAGGTAGCCCAGGTTGCCCTTGAATTCATGGTGATATTCCTGCATCGGCCTCCCAAGCGCAGGTGTTGTGGGTGTGTGCATAGAACTGCTGCCTCCTACCCATCTCTAGCTGTCAGCAAAGGCCCTGCAGGCCTTTGGGATGAGTTTATTCCCTTTGGAGATGGTCAGTGAGGTGCATGGTGGATTACTGTTAGATTGGTGAGCGTGCAGGTTGAGCTCAGCTTTCTTCTCCTCCTCCCTAGGATGTCCTAGAAGAGTGCCTGTCTCCTCCCAAGCTGTCTGCTTACTCTGGATGGGTGGTAGAGCACGTCCTCCCCTACACTCAGGAGAATCTCGCTCCCTCTGAGACATCATCCTCGGGATCGGCTCCTGTGCTAGATCAGCCCTCACTTGTCCCCCGGTCTCCTGTCCGAAGCACTGCCTGCTCTCCCGCCACCCCCACAGCTCCGGAGGCGGTCAAGGTAAAGCTGAGAGCCCAGACAAAACACGGCGGCTGCAGAGTTGAAGTGTCTGGTGCTGTCATGTGACAGTGACCCTGTCTGGGGGAAGTAATGCTTGTTTCACGTTACAGCTGTGTGGGGGTATAGTGTTTAATGCGTTCGTCAATATTCTCTCAGGATGATGCAGAAAAATCCCCTGTTACTGGTACCAAGAACAGGTACTGGTTTCATGAGCAACTATATTATTTTTTCGCAGGAATATTGTGTCTGTTTAACTGTTGGATCCTGAAAGGCTTAGAGGAAAATTTATATTTGCTCTTAAATTCACTTTATTGATTTTAGTCGTTTAACCTGTATATCCCCCTACTCAGATGGCAGAGGCAAGATTGCAAGATTGAGACCATCCTGCGCAATTTCTGTAACAAGTAGAGCTCATAGGCCAAAAAGCACATTGACATGAAGCTCTTATCAGGCTGGAGGTGCAGCTCAGCGACGTAGCCCCTGCCTCGCAGCGCAAGGGCCTGAGTTCGATTCCAAGTCCCAGCGCCAAACATGAATAAGTATATAAGCTCATGGCTTGTTTAGTGTGGTTTGATTTTTTGAGGGGAGGTGGCTCTTGGTCTATAGTTCAGGCTGGCCTTATACACACTGTGTAGTCCAGGCTGGACTCAGATTTGTAGCCATCATTCTGCCCCAGTCTCCTGAGTGCTGGGATTACAGGTGAACACTACCATGTCCAGCCTACACATCATGTATTATGTAAGAATTATAAGATGATTGGTGACTTAAAACTATAAGCCTATTAAAAATAAAATATAGGGGCTGGTGAGATGGCTCAGTGGTCTAGAGCACCCACTTGGAACAAGCTTAACAAAGCCCAGGGACCGCGGTTCAATCCCCCAGCACCACATGCCAGCCAGCCCC